TTTTCACACAAGGCGAAATCGAGCAGATGCTGAGTGATGGAGCTGGCAGAAAGTTTGTGGCCACTGGTTGCCAACTTTCGCGGAACAGGTTCCATGCTCCTAGTTGATATCCTTCTCTGGGTTCGGAAAATGTGCATGTTACCGCAGGTACAGGTGAATTGGAAAACACAAGATGCGGTAATCTGAGAGTGAGACTTATCCTAGCTTAATCCGTGAAACTTTTTCTTCCTTTCATGTAACAACACGATCAGAGCGCCGTAGTAACAACAAGAAATGCTTGAGAATATCCGAGTTGCACTGCTCTCCGAGATGAATGATTGCTTTTTAGAAATTTTGCTACCAGACAATGCGATATCGTCAATGCGGCTTTAAAGTAAAGTTTCGCAGAGCATCGTAAGCGACTTCAAGATCTACGGGTTTGTTGATCGACTTCTGCTGTCAAAACACAAAACACAATTCTTCGGTCAGCTGTGATCTGCGATTGGCTAAGCACATTGCTTTCTAGTAAGTAGTGATGATTTGTTATGATTGAAGATAGTTTATCACCGTCAGCCTCAGGCAGCAGGCTACTAGGGAAAAACACCAATCACCGCTGTTTCGACCGGCTGGGTCTCGTCAGTGGTGCGCATTCCAGCTTTCTGCCATTTGATATTTATGCTTACATCAAAATATTTTGTGCAGAATTCAACACCAAGCGGAACCTTGAGGAGAAACTGAATTTAATTTCGCCACAGAAGCCAGCTAGGGAAGAATATGTGCGGAGTACGTAACTATCCAAGAGAAGCGGAGAGAAAAAGCGGTCATTGTCCGATGTATGTAGCTCAATGTCAAGGACTCCAATCCCATCCATTTCCTCGCTGCACCGGAAACAACGCTAAAGTCATACGGTATCGCATCTGAAGCACAACAGGAGATCAGACACAGGATCATCACGGCTCGCAGTCATAATGTTGAAAGCAACATCTTCAGGCCATTGGACAAAAAGCTCTGACGAGTCTCAATAAAGACAAGAATATTGGTATACTATCAGATGGCAAAGGAAGTCTAACGGTTCTGATGGACAAAACCGATTACATGATGAAGGCGCAACATCTGCTCATCGATACCAACACACGCCAACCGATAAGCGAAGATCCGACAGAACGCTTAGAAGGCAACATCAAGTGCACTCTGTAAAAACTAGATCAAATGGGGCGAATCACAAAATGGGAACACAAAACGAAGAAACCGCAAAATTCGATAATGCTGCGATTCCACGACCTACCAGAAGTACACAAAATGGTGTGCCAGGACGTTCCATCGTATCGTTACCTAGAGCACCAAACTACGGACTTGTAAAACAGCTCTGGAGACGGTTAAAACATCTACTTGCGGAATCAGAACACTCGATTAACTCGACAGAACAGTTCCTAGCAAAACTCAAAATCACAACCATAGAACGAGACGAAATAATGTTCTCTTTTGATGTGACAGCGTTGTTCATATCAATTGACATCAACTTGGCATGAACACAACTTTGATGAACATACAGCTTTCGACGCTAGTAGTATAATCGACGCCAGACAAAGGATGGAGTTGCTGGGCTTCTGTTTAACCACGTATTTCACTTTCAACGACAAAATCGACCAGAAGATAAGAGACACACCAATGGAATTGCCGATCTCTGGACTGGTAGCCAAAGCAGTGATGCAGGTGCTCAAACGGATAGAACTCCCAATTGCAAAAGCGAGAATTTGAGTACGCCACCTAGATGAGATCTTCGTCTTCCTCAAACGTTCCAAATTAGAGGAGATGCATGAGCAAATTAACACTGTGTTCAACATCATCCAATTCACGGGGTAAGAGGAGAACGACGGGCAGCTACCATTTTTAGATGTTCTCATCCGTAGGACTGGTTCAGGACCACTGTAAACGACGGTCTACCGAAAATCAACACATACGGACAAGATCTGCGACTACAACGGCAACCACCTGGCAATGCACAAGCACAGCTGCGTGATTACTCTTTTCAAACGAGCCCGGACATATTGTAGCACGCAGCAGCTGAGGCAGGCGGAGGAAGACCATCTCTTCGGCCTGTCCAAACGGAAATCTTACCCAAAAGGCTTCATTCTGCATTGCTTGGCCCCATATAAAGTAACACAATACACTTCAACAAATGCAACGGATGAAAAGCGAGCCGTGTTGCCTTACATCAACGGAATCTCTGAAATGGCATCGAGACTTTTGTTACCTTTGGGAGTCAAAATTGCCCACCAAGCAAACGAAACGATTCGAAATAGACTCTTCAAATCGAAAGCTAAACTCAGCAAGTAGGAAACATCTGGGGTAGTCTACAAGATCTGTTGCCGAGATTGTGACAAATACTACGTAGGATGAACAGGAAGAAAGCTTGGCACACGGCTACATGAACATAGCCTAGCTATCCGCCGTCATGGTAAAAACTTTTTGACGTCCGTACATATGGATGCCGAAGACCACCAGTTCGACCTGGAGCACGTCAAAATTCTCGAAAGAGCCGCAAGTTGGCAAGCACGTGAGTTTATTGAATCATGGTATTCAAAGCAGAAGTAGATCAACAAACACGTAGATCTCGAAGTCACGATGCTCTGCGAAACATTACTTTAAAGCGGCGCAAAAAATCTGCAAAATAATTATTCAACTCGTATTGTGGTTCCCTTTTATTTGCTTGGCATAGATTTTAACAATGTCTTTTTTATTCTCCTTTTTCTGGTATCGCGATCAAAACCCTTTTCTTTGCCACATCCATTCGGTTTTGTTTTTGAGCAGCTCCATTCACATGCTTTGCGATGATTTTTTCAGGTAGCTGTTTTTTCGCTGGTTGGACTCTATGTATCCTAGTTCCACGTCGGTTGAATCTTCAGAGTATATTCTGTGTTCTAACAAAACTTGTTTAAACTACGATCGTTTTTAGTTCAGCAGACAGTAACTGTTTTGATGTAAGTGTTATCGGGGCCAGCTCGGTTTCCGGTAGATGGATCTTATGAGTGAACTATCTTCTCTGCTCTCAGTTGCAACATCAGTAAAATGAAACGAATCATCTGATTCGCTCTCTTCATGAATTTGTGAAGCCCTTCCCAACACCCCTCAGTATGGTCCATTTTTAGTACATGAGGGAATGGAGCCGCGGCCATTTGTACTGCATACAAACCAGGCAGAAGCCAACTACCTGTTCCTACTGTTCCAGCAAATTTGCAGATGACTCGGCTAGCCAACTGCGACGCAAGTCACAAATTGTACATGCTCCCTCAACCATCTCCATGTCCACAGTAATATCGGTAAGCACAAATGACATATTACCCATATTACCACGTCTGTTAGGAGTAGACCCGAACCCAGTACTCCCAATCATATCTCCTGCGTCCATAATACCTGACTATAACAACGCGTATAACATTGAAGCGCAACATGATGACCCCACACCTAATTGTCCGTTTTCTGTACTTTTACTTGATGCTAGATCTATTAACAACAAATTGTACTCCCCAGTCATGCTTGTGCATATAAACGACCCACAAGCAATCCTCGTTACTGAAACATGGTGCTCCCCCGTTCCATCAGACTCTACCATAATGATTCCTAAGTAGCAGCTCTTCTGAAAAGATTGCGGCACAGGTAAATGAGGTGGGTGCATGATGTATCTACATTGTACATTTGCAGCAGCACTTCTTGATCATCCACAGCTGACAAATGTTCCTGTCTCAGAACTTGTTCTCCCGTTTTACTCGGATATGTTTACAACCCATCAACTGCGCCAATTGCGAGTGTTGCCATCATCACTTCAGCGTCCGCGTTTGCTGCTGAGATGCTACACAGACAGAAGTTAATTGCTGATGATTTTAACCTACCAAAAATTAACTGGTCCTCTAAACCATCATCGTCTATACATACAGCTTCCCTCACTCAGAACTGGAGGCTGGATACAATGGGTTACTGAGCCAGTATGAGCGACCAGTATATTCGACCTCATATTCACTTTGGGGGTCACGAGGACAAAAACAGAGGTATTAGACAAACTCCTTCATAGTGATCACAAGATGGTACGATTCCCTTTCTGCGTCAAATTGGCCATCAAACACACTTTTATTCCGTAGTATGTATCCCATAGGATAAACTTGAAGCAATTCCGACAATTAATCCGATCATCCGATTGGGACTCATTCTTCCTTTCTAACAATGTGTGCAATGCCGTAAACTATTTCTATCATCGGGTCCATCAGGCCATGGCTGTCCTTACTCCCCAAGGCGGCTAGATCACACGTGTCCAAAAAGACGCAATCGTGCGTTCAGTCAGCCGGAAACACAGAAGACCAATTGCTGTATACAGAAAAACGGCAAATTTCACCTGGCTTTTACAGTTGCACAACACCATTGACAGGGTCAAGCACATACAGTTGAAGAAGAGGATACACGAAGAACTTGTGGCTCTACGAACGACATGTAAAACGAAAGAACTGGTTAAAATGCTGCGTAGCAGAACTAATAACTACTCCCATGATCGATGAACTAGTTAATGCAGACGGACAGTCCCTTCATGATCCAGCCGACATCTGCGAAGTGTTTAGCTCATCTTTCGCTAACTCCATGGGGTTGGAAACGACCGCGTTAAATACAAGCATTGGGGTGCAAACTACCAACGTACTGTGTAACATATAATATTCTAGCATTGCTATCCAACATTTAATGAATTCTACTAAACCGTCTACTCATATGTATTC